ACACATGCATGTGCACACACACAAACACACACAGCTTCCCATACTTAAAACACACACACACGGATTTCCTGCTGCAGTTGGGCGGTGAGGTTGTTTGGGGGATTGAGAGGCACCTCTTTCCATTGCTTGTAAGCAGCGAGCCAACCACCAAACATTACCTTGCACTTATGCAAAGTCATTCTACGCAGAGGATAAACAATATAAAGACAGCCTGTCGTCTAAAAACCACTGGCCTGCTATCAAGAAGTCAGACTTATTTTTATAAAATTGACCAACATTTTCATTTGCAGACTATTTTCTGTCTTTCTCTCAACCTCTGTGGCTACATTTTACATTACTTATATACAATACCATGTAAGTGTCAACAAATCCTAATTTATATCATTTAACTGAGCAGTGTTTTGACCTATAAAGTCTTTATTAGTAGTACTACTTTTTCTGCACTTTTTATACTTACACAATGACCCCCATTCTTAAATTTGGTTACTTTTTGTATAGTCCATATGTAAACCTGTTGACATGTTTTTTTTCAATCTGAGAAAAAAACTGCACTGGGGGATCCATTAGATTGTTCTAAGTACATAGTATTGAAGGAATAAGTGAGTGAAAGTGGGGAAAAAAACAACAAAACACAACAGCAATGAGCCAGCTGGAATACAGTGAAGCAGGAAATGTTGTCTGGCACCTCAGCTTATTGGAACCAAGCTCAAACTGTATTCATGACCAAGCATAGGTGTGGCATTTGTAAAAGTGTGCATTACAGTAAAAAATATAAACAGATGGACCATGGGGCCCAGAGAAAATTCAAAATGCATCATTATGTCCCAGCAGTTAAAAATATGAGGCAACAGCAGGCCACAATGAATCTTTAAGAAGCCAAGTGGGAGGAGCCCTGTAATAGCTCTAGACTTCAGCTGGATTGCGTAATAGCGAACACATCAACAACTGTGGATTTGTACATCTGCCTCAGACAGAATCATGCATTCATCCAGTTGAGAACATGACTAATAAAACGTTTAAACAACAACTGCAGAACTGTAGCTGTACCTCGTTACTATACTAATAACCGTATTTGTTGTGCATTTTTTATTTTTGCTCATTAGTTGTTTCTCATCTCATCTCACTGGGACAATGATTATTCAAGTTTTACTCTTATGTCTATTTACTTTTTTGTTTATTCTGTGAAGTTGATGTTTTACGCTAATGAAAGCAAGAAGGGGAAAAAAAAGGCACTTTACCTGGTCCGGACACAGGAGGCTCGGGCTTGTGGGATTTCTTTGGGTCAAGTCTGTCCTTCTCCAGCTGTTTTCGTGTACTCCGTTGCCGGGCCTCTCTGAACATGGGTAAGGCATGAGCTGGAGACACACAGGGTAAACAAGGATAATCAAGTTGCTTAGGTAACTCAAACTGCAAGATCACAAAACACAGCCGCACAAAAATAAGCAGGCAGGGCACCCGGCAATAAGTTCAGAGTTTGTGGCCCACGTATAGTAGTGCTTCACTAAATGAAGGCAGAAAAGAAAGCTGAAATTTAGCAGTGTTTTCTTATACAAAGTGCAGAAGCAAAGTCTCACTTCCTACTACACCTTGCAGTAGATACGCAGCATTTACGCAATAACACATGCACCTGTTGACCTCTGGCATCCCTACTGTTGTGTCTTTCTGCCATAGTGCGCACCAACATATTCATTACATCCCCCCCATGTTTAGATTCACACAATCACCCTGCAACTCTTCACACTTTTGTGAATACTATCATAATAAAGGACCCCAGCACTTAAATCCATGCGTGTGCATGAGTAAGTGTGAATGAGTGCCCTCAAAAGGTGTGTGAGAAGGAGTTTGTGTGTGTGTGTGAGAGGAGATGTGTGTTTGTGTAATCGAGTGTATTGCTCTGCTCTCATCTCACGGGTTACAAACAGACACTTTGTAAGGGCTAGATAAAGTGATTTTCCATTCAGGAGCCCTGTCGCTGTTCAGTGTTAATTCTTCTCCTCCACGCTACATTAAGCAAAAAGGTTACTGTTAACAGATTCCCTCGCTTTTCTCAATGGGCCATCACTTGCTTCCTGTCCCCTCTAATTTTCCAGTGCCAGGGCATCAAGTGCGTCACTCGCCGCTCATGGCAGTCAAATGCCGGCTTACTTCACACCCTGTTGGCATGGCAATGAAATCACATGATGCATCTGAAAAGGCTGCAGTAGCCCAAACAATAAATGGCGTCTGAATTGGGTCTTAGCAGCCAATCAAGGACGTGGTGTCGGCAGCTGTTCTGTCCCTGTAGGTTCATGACTTCACTCTGGGGGCAAAGGAGCATGAGGCACGCACAAAAGAGATGACAGCCTCGTGTGTTGGTGATATGACAGGATGACATTGGGGGGTGGGGGGTAGTTTGTGTGTGTGTGTGTGCGTACAGTGTGGACCAGCAGGAGATCACGCCAGCAGAGGTGGGAGAGGCGGCTGTCCCTAGCGTGATCCGACTGCAGACCACATGGCTGCCGCGTGGCACAGTGCCCTGCGGCTGTCCGTCCACTCATCCACACCCTACTCCATCAGCTAATGGGCCTGTGAAAGCCCTGAACACTCTCATTCCTCGCAAAGCGCCCGGTATGAGATGGAGTGCGTTTGAATGTTTCTGAGGTCGCATGTAAACAGTGGTTGGTAGTTTTGTTCTTTGTGTCTGAGAAGGAGGATGCTTGGTGCTGTCTCTTGCTGTTAAACCACACAGTGCCTTATCATGTGAAGAGCACTGAGCACAGATGGGTTAGTGGGCTCAAGGTGGATTAAACTGCTGGAGGGCTTCGAGAAAGGCACTTCACTTTAATCTCTTCAGTAATTGTTTACTGATTAGAAGGCGATGTGCGAAACTGCATGCAGTCAAGAGAGCAGGGAATTAAGTTTGTGTTTTCGGATACAGACATGGAAAAACTTACGTGTGATGATGTAATCTTGTGTTAGCGTCTCGGCTTGTTTCTCTTTCCGCTGGCTCTTCACTACACACAACTTAGCTCCTCTGGAAAAGAGTCAGTTTGTTAAAATGATGCTATTTAAATATATCATATAGGAAACACAATATCAAGGATAAGGCCTTGCTTGCTTTACATTCACCTGAAAAGACTTAAACCAGCAATGAATTTGTCGCAACAATTCTTTGCAGCCATTGTATAATATTGCCTCTGTGCTCAATCGGTGTACAGAAAACATAAAAAATATTTTAAAAGAACCATGGATGCAGTGGGTGACAAACAATAAATGATTCAGCTATGGTATTTGGTTTGACTAACACAGACTAGCCTACTAGTTTTCTCACCACTTATCCATTGACTGACATTTTGATTGATACATATGCCTTTCATTGATGTATATGTATTATCTCTATGAAGTACCTGCACATGAGGAGTGCGTATTTTTATTGTTAGTATGTAAGTTAATTGCCCACTTATTAGGTTACTGCCTACAGGAATAGAATATATGTTTCTATGTATTACTATTTTTTACTTTTTACTACTACTATTTATCTTGCTAGTATTTGTTCTTTGGATAATGATGTCTTGATGATCAGTCTCAGCTCGGTGTTATTTGCCGGCAGGTCCCTGGCTTCTATTTAACAGGGTCACACCCACAAATGTCTTACTGTAATGCTTTTCTGCTGCTGCTGTGCAATTCAAATTATTTAAATGATATACTCATTTGTGAGTGCTGACGATTTTATTTACAGTTTCATGATTTTTTGGATACATTATATACACATTAGAGTTTAGCACACCAGGTCTTTCTTTTGCATAACACAGAAATAGATGATGAAATTAAGAAGCAGGAGACATTTGTGCTGGTTAATCGTAATTTCAGGCAACTTGCAACTGCATTTTCAATCTCCAATAGTTAGTTAGTAGTGGACAGACTGGGAAGATGTCTAGTAATGTTAACACTGCTTCGACAAGCTGAGAAGAAAAAACTACACTTACTGTGTTGATTGCAATGACTGAATATGTTATCCATTACAACAGCATGGCCCTTTCGTGCGTTTTTAATTGTTTTTGGTCGACAACAACAACAGTTCTAGGGCATGCCAGAATAAGTTATTTCAGGCTGTAACTGTTAGGATAAATAAATAGTTGGTTTTTGTCTCTTCAGGGGAATTGTCAATAAAAAAAATATATAAAAAAGTGAAATAACGGCAAAAAACTGAACATACCTGTGGCTTCGGACAGGATCATAGTAGACCTTGGCCAGTCCATTCCCAGTTCCCACCATTATCTGGTTAAGTTTTGGGTGCCACAAGCAGCGGATGACACTCTGGAATACACACAGACAGAAACAGTTAATGTTATTTGTACATGAACTGAAGGTGGCACATGTGAGAAGAGCAGGATGTACTTTAAAATAACAACCCAGAGCAGGTTATGGACATCTTTCTCTACTGCGGTTCAGATCACAGAGATGTTTCTGCTTCCCTGCTAACAAAAGGTAACAATCAGATTTTATTGTGAGTGTGTGACCCAGGTTGGTTGTGGTACAGTGGGAATCAGTCCCAGCGTGCTCTGCTGCTCTAGTTGACTATATTTGGTTGTTGGGATGAGGGCTGGATCCTTCAGTCTGTGTGTGACAGATGGCCCAGTGCCAATAGGCAAATGTGACCACATTTATCCAGAGAGGTGTGTGTGTGAGAGAGAGACAGCAAAAGAGGGACAGATAGAGAAATGCACACACAGTTGCTGGATAGTGATGAAGACCCTCTGTTCATTCTGTAAATGTGAGCTGCAGTAGAGAGCCAGAATCCCTGCAGCAGCACCTCCTTTCTTCACACACATTATCAGAGCATCACAACCTTCTGTGGCAACCTATGTGTGAGAGTGTCATCTTTAACACACATCTATATATATATTGTTCAGATGTGTATGTAACGCAGTTGTATGGAATTTCTGAGAGAGAGTTTTATGTGGAACACAGGAAGCAATCTGGTGGGGGGGGGTCTAGGGCCGGGGCGTAGAATGGGGGGTGGGTAGGACTACAACTGGGATGTCCAGATTCTGTGATGGTGAAAGCTGCTTAGCGCCCAGCTGTTCAGCTTCCCACCAGGATACCAGGGGAAGGAGTTTCAATCTCTCTCACACACACACACGCAAGCAGAGGACAGACACGTACGAGGCGAGTACTTGTGTGTACAGAGGAAATGCAAGCATGGCTAGTTGGTGATTTTATTTCACTATTACAATAGAAAAACTATAAAATACATTTTGAAGTGATCATATATTCTATATACAATGAAATTATGTTGCCACATAAATAAATGTACTTAAAAACACAACCATGTTTCATGCAACTATACAACATATGTGTCTATAGCATATACAACCTTGTGTCTAAAGTGAATTAAAATCATTCACAATCTTCTTACATTTTACACAAGCCTCATTCATACATACAGACATACATACATATCTACACTATCAGGCCAACCGCTCAGTGTTGTTCAGCTCTCGGGACAGATGAGGGTTAATCTGCTCAACCAGATCATGAGCCAGCTGTAATTGATCGAAAGATCTGGAAAATGCTTTAAACAGGATGTGCTTAACATGAGCCTCGCATATTCCATTTACACAATGGTAGATCAATGATAACATGTATAAATAGATAAATGGCTTAAGCACAAACGACATGGTTGCTCTGAGGAAAACGCACTGTATTATCGGTTCATTTAACAAATAATTCTGAAGTGTAAAAAATATGCTGTATTAGTCCTGAGCTCAACACTTATGAAAACATGTATCAACATGTGTGTATCGTGAAACAATTGAAGTCTACCCACTATGGATGTGCTTCAGTGTAAATGTGTAATGGGTTATAAATTTCCCCGTCAGGGTTGCTAAAGCAACCCGGACAGTCCCTACATGCGAGGCAAGGCAGAGATGACAGTTAGGAATTCTGTTACACTCCACAGGTACCGTCAAAGCTCAAGGAATTCACCCAATACACAGTACAGCGACACAACATAGAACAAATCAGGCAGTAAAACCAAAATGAAAGTGTCAACACAGCCAGGTGACTGCAGTACAGTCAAGTTCAGAAAACAACCACTTCAGACCCAAACAAATCATTCTGTCAACAGTGAAACAAGTCAAACATAAAGAGCAGAGCAGCCAAAAACAGACCAGCTCAGTGGGGCCCACCCCAGCTGGATCCACTGAGAAGCCCACAGCCAAGCATAGCTCAGTCCAGTCCAACAGTAAGACTGCTTTCCAGATATTCAGAGCAGCGTGTTTACACTCTAGGAAACCCTGTTTACGCTTCACGTCCACCAAATTACATCACATCATGAAGGAGGAAACTTTAATCAGTCAGTTCTTCAGTAGCAGCCGTCTATGTCCCATCAGATTAAAATACCAAACGCTGATCAGGGATAAATAAGACAACAGCCACTCGCCCAAAATCTATGCTGATTATGAACTAAAGTTATGCAGCACTAATGGGACACAGTCACAGCTGTGTTCCTCGTTTAGTCTCTGGTGAGTGGATCCAAATGTGCACTGACTACTCTGACGGACTCAGCTACACAGGCCAGCTGAATGCAGTAGGGGGAAAAGGAGAACTTGAGACTTAGCACCTCAGCTACACACTGAGTGGGCACACGTCCGAGAAGTCTGTAATTAGTATGAACTGCCTTACTGGAAGAACTGGCTTTTACATATGCAAGATTTGCTTGGTAAGATGCACAAGAAAGAACAGAGTTAAGCCCTCCTTTCTACCTTTCAAGCTTGGCTGCTCTTACTGAGGATGAAAGACCGACCATTGGTATCAAAGGTCTAATTGAAAAGCTTGGCACAGGGGGCAGTTCACTGTTTAAGAGCCATCAAGCATGGGATGGTAGGTGTAGCTAGTAAAGGTGGCACAGTTTTCCATCTACAGTTTTTTAATACAGAAATCAGTGCTCTTAATTTTTTATTTACGAATCTATGCTCACAGATCTGATTTGGATCATTCTTCTATGTGTAAAATATTAAGGCTATAAGTACACAAACAACTTTGTCACTATAAGTGAAGTTGAGATAATAATATTACCAATATTAATTTTAAGTTTGTACAAATGCAGTACTTTTCTAGGCTTTTTACCATGTTATGAATGACAGTGACTAAGAACCCATACGTAATGTTGATGAGTCACATCTGGCCGATACCCAACACATTTAATAAGGTCATTATTGGCACCGATAGCAATCTGGTGTATCAAATTGGTCTTACACCATTTTTATGCTTTTATTACATAGCAATAGTATTGAGATGACGGGAAAGGAGACACAAAATACAAAGCACCAGAAGATACACGCAAGTTAAAACATGAATACATACAGTACTGCATGAGGGCCGCAGGTTTAAGTTAGTCTCCATTTGAAATCCAGCCAAAAGCTCAGTGCTTTGATAGTCAGCAGGGTCTCACCTGGTTTCTGCCCCTTTTGATGGACTACAATAAGCTTAAGAGTGTCTGACGTATACCAAATGGGCCTAAAACAGCCTCCGCTCCCAAGCACACCCCAGAATCCAGGTCTGGGGTTATGAAGACTGTTTAGTTAGAAATGATTGGTGGCCCTTCCTTTCACTCGCCTGCCTGGTATGCCACTTTATAAAGACTGCACTTAAATTCTCGGGCCATCCAAGAAGCAGACGGCTGATGTAAACATAGTAAATAGCACATTCATCAGGTTCACTGAGTGCATGTCAACCAGAAATAACTGATCTGTTGCAAAACTAAATTTCAATGCATCAAAATTAATTTTTTTAAAGGCTACCAATGCAATTTGGCGTGGGCAATAGTAACAGTCAGACTGGTAGAGTAGTGGTCAGTGGGTTGGAAGGAGGGGCTGAGATCCAGAGGATGAATTTCATGACAACTATCAAATATGGACATGCAGTAAAATACATTAAAAGGCAGCAATTCAAAAATGTCAGACATCAAAATGGTCTAGGGGTAGGCAATCAAGCGGTTATCCCTTACCCCCTAAAACTCTCTACTCTCTACTCTCTACATGTCCATTTGTCCAGTGTATGTAAAAATGGCAAAAAAATAAACTGAAATGAAATGCAATTTTGCAATATTACAATAACTGATCTCAGTTATACAAGAACAATTAATGGCCACGGAATTTTCTAAATTCTGACTTTTGAATAATAAATGGTAGCCTGATTCGTGCCTCTGTGTTCTGGCGCCACCCATGAGCCCACCCCACACAACAGGGTGACGCACAAACCGTAGCTTTTATGTAAATGGAAGCAATTAAATGAAGTTATATGACTCGAAGAAACTGCTCAAATATGTGAATGGCTTCAAAGCATATTTCCAAAGACTATGACTGAAGTACTTTAATCATCACCATATAAATTTTGAGAGGTTAGTACAATTAACACAAATAAAACGTTTGCCAAGGCAATTGGCAGCCTGTACCCATCTTTAGCCTGCATTGTTTTTCGTGGCACTGGTTAGGATTATGTGGGAAATCTGCTGGATTTCTGTTCAGCACAAATGGTGATCAGACAGGAAGAGGTTTTGCCATCCTTTCCAGTAACACTGAACTTATGCTTTCAGAGTTTCTCACAATGGTAGATGGCGGAACGAGTGAAAGGCCAATGGAAAAATCACTTCCAAATGTTCGTCAGTAAAGAAGTGAAAGACAAGACGAACGTCCATTGAGTGAAGCATAGGAGCAGGAGGAGGGTTGTTAAGTTCTAAACAGACTCTTTGACCCAAAGTATCTGAGGACTTTTCTTTGATGCTGCCTATAGCGATATCGTCACCACAGTGAAGTGGGTGCAAATGTTACAGCTGATTCTGTTTATAAAGGTTTATGCAGGAAGACCTCAAATACAACATATGTTGATGACCACTGCTCGTTGTAAATGACTGACATCCTCACATGTGGATTATGTGGACATCACCTACCTTCTTTGAGTGACACTATTTATACTGAACATTCAAAAGTCATAAGTATTTTAACTGGAGTGCACTAAAGTAAATACTGCCACCAGACAGGAACTATCTAGAGATGACAGTAGTCATCTACACAACATCTATAAAATGCTGTTTTAATGTTTAAAAAACACGTAGTGTATCATTACTATGAGACAGAGATCTTTGTTTTTCCGAATTAAGGAATACAGTATACCAAGGTATTGACAGTGAGTATATTTATATAAAAAATTCTATTCTTAGCGCTTTTAGTCATCAAAGCCAACACAGAAGTCCTTCAATTTTATTTTAATGCAGCATCATTCTTTATTCCAACTTCAGACAACTGCACTGACAGGCTCGTGTGCAGCTCACGCTCAGCTTAGAATTCAACAGCGATCCTTTCATATAAATTGGCAGCTTGAATAACTCTAAAAAGTCAGATTTAGATAAGGAAATGACAATAAATCAAAAAAATGAATAAACTTTTTTATTCAATTAAAGTTAAAATCTCAAATAAAATGGGTCACCCAAGACATGGACTGCCCTCCCTGCCTCTCAGTTACTGCAACTGTGCAGCGGGGTGTGCACTTTGTGTCGATGTTGTGCCAAAGTTTGCAAGCTAACAGCAGCTGGCTGGCAAGACAGGGGGATGCACAGACACACAAACCCAGCTTTTGTTTCTTTCCCCCCCTCTCTCAAACATGTTCACTCAGTGGCCCATGTGAAAGTGTCATGTCTTAGCCAGGAAGACCAAGTTAGAAGCCATTAGCCTCTGTCAGACCTCACTGTTATGACTACAGATACACAGTGCCAGATCTGTTGAAACGGAGAGACAGAGGAGGAGTAGGAGCAGGAAGCAACAAAAAAACTTTTCTACTGAAGACAGCACCTCTGCCCTTCATTTCAGCACCCATGGCTGGTTGCCTTCACCAAATGGATTTCTGAGAAAGCAGGATTAGTATAAAGTACATTGTATGCTAACGTGTTTGACAGCGTAGTCTGTCTCATGTGAATGGAACATGTGAATAATTTAATTTCAAATGTAAATCAAAGGCAATACATATAAAAGCGTCTATAGCTGTTCTGCCAAAGCTTTGTGGGAATGACTTGCAGTAAGAAAAGGTCACATTACTCTCCTTTCTCCAAACTTGTCTCTAACTATTTTTTTAAACTTTCCTCCTTCGCCGTCACTCCCCTCCATAACTCTTCTCATCTTCCTCTGTATTTTCCCCCAAATACTGTCAACTTTACCGTCAATCTTTCATCCAGTGTGAAGATGGAGCAAATATGTATTCTGCTATGCTGCTGAGATATGACTAGCGTCAGAGACACAGTGATTTAAAGGGAAAATGTCTGATCACTGCCAGAAGATTGACGTCATTCCAATGACATTATAGGTGATTTTTGTAGACATGAGTTTCCAGCATTACTGTTCCATAATTATACATAACAGACTGCTGACTGCACAATTCTGAATCTCTATCTAAATTCCTGTGGACTGTTAAATATTAGCCGTTAGAAATAATAAATACCGACTCAAATAAATAATAGGCTGAAGGTCTAATCTATTGGAATAATCTTTGTTGGGTATGAAATTAAATACATCTCAACATCAGGCCAATTAGATCTGTTCTGCTGTCACAATTAAGTCTGTTGGTGCTATAAACAAATAAAAACATTTTACGGCTGCTGTTTTTTTCAGCCCAGACTACTTATGTGGAGGAGAAATGACACGCACATTGGTTTCATTAAGTTCCATCGTGGATTCATTAAGTTTCTTTTCCACTGTGCATCATTTTGGGTCATTTTGGTTTGTAAACAACATATCATATCAACCAGCTGAAAAACATCTTACAATGAGAGCAGTTGTGGTTGTGGAGATTGCGGCAAAACTTACTGCGTTGGTGACCTCTATTTCATAGACCTTCTGAAAGGAAGCCCGGTCAAAGAAAACCAACTTTCCATTTCCCTCGTCTTTCTTCACTGAGGTCCCCGTTACAACAAGCTTGTCGTCAGGGCTAAAACAGCAGTCAGTCCTTATAGGGAAAATTACACACATACAATCTCATCAGTTCATAACCCACACACATAATCTACAGATCATCTCAGATTTTAATTTATTAAGATGATAGGTAAAAATTCTCACATTGTAAAGTAGTTGGTCAGTCCAGTAGCTACATTCACAGGCTTCCTGAAGTTGCGTATGTCCCACATCTTTAGAGTATCATCACCTAGAAAATAGATGGAGACATTAAATAAACTGTAAATTGTGAGATTTACTTTACAGAAAACGGAACTGTCTAAGAAGTAAATACTGCCTTTTCTGGCCTATACAACATGGCCATAAGAGTTATTTTTCATTTACATTACAGAAATATGTTTTGTGAAGGACTCTTGCGCAGAGTTATTCCTGTTTGTCTTTGTGTTAAAACGCATGTTTCTGTGTATAAATCTCTTCTGAGTCTTGTGGTCCCTGTTTATTTGCACATTTAAAAAGAGACTATGTTTTTGCTGAAACATTTTGGATCAGTGATCAAGCACCTAAACACAGGAGGCTCTCTTTGAATGTAACTTCAATGTGTGAATCTGCTGGCTGTGCACTTTGGAGTATAATGGGTTTTTTTTTTTACCTCCACGTGAAGCGAGAGTCCTGCCATCATAGGAGAAGGAGAGACAGGAGGTGTCTGATCCTGGAATGTGTGCTTGACGACAGTGGAACTTTGTATGGACCTAAAAAGAAAAAGAAAACAATGCATTGACCACATAGATTTACAGACTCCGCTCCAGTTTATAGTTTAGTAGTGATGTGTAACACAAGCTTCAGACTCGGGTCCTATATAAAGCGAGGTATTAACCTATGACCTAAAGACTGGCATGAATAGGTATAAATAAAGGTTGCGTTTCCATTTC